ACAGGAAGGAGAGAGGGAAGCTCATCTCTGAATCTTGCTCTCTTCATTGTTTGGGTCTGTGTAGCCTCAGCTGGTTTGGAGGAGAAAATGTTCTGGGAACTTCTCATCAGATAGAGCTCTCTTGATAGACAGTTAGAGATAAACCTTTTTTTTTTTTTCTTTTCTGCAAAAGTTCAAGATAATGACATTGCCACAGAAAAATGCTTTCCTACTGCTCAGCAAATGGCAGGCTTCACCCTTCTTCTGCTCTGTCGTGGCACTTTGAGAAGTGGTTTGCCTGGGAAAAATCAGGCAAGAAAGGTCTCGATCTTGAGCTGTTATTCTGCAGTTGAACCCACTCGTGCTGACCTTCACCTTCAGACAGCAGCTGTGCACAACACGGAAGCTCAGCGAAGGCACACGAGTCTCCACGGGGGCACTGGGGCTCCACGAGGGCACCGATGGCTGGCAGACACGACAGATGCTGCTCACAACGTGTCACCCCCCGGCCTCCCACAGCCCCCGTGGAAAGAGGCCGTGGCCAGGTAGCCAAGTCTGCTGCCTGAGGAGCAGCAGCTGGAGGCCAGACAGACTGTCCTCTGAGGCCTAACCCAGTGCTGATGGACAACATTTAGGTCTGAATGTCTTCCCTAGACACGGAGCTGTCAGACAGCTCCAGCTAAGAGAGCTAATCCTCATGGCAGGGGCAGACGTGCAGCGCAGAGATCCCTGAGCTATCCCTGATCCAGACCCGTGTGTCCACCCCACTTCCTCAGGTCCCACAGCAGCCCCACAGCCCAAGCCTGGCCAGTCTAGTGGCACAAGCAGTGTCTGGCTAAGGAAGCCAGAAACCTGGGAGGCAGAGCTGACTTGTACTGTGCTGATAGGGCCGCGCCACTTCCAGGCTCGGCCAGGGGTGATTCGGGGCTCTCTGCACGGCTGCTTCGCCGTGTGGTGAGGCTGTGCTCGAAGGACCACCCCAGAACTTCAGCCCACAGCTTCCTGATAGGAGATAAAGCCTGCAGAGGCGTCCACATGGTCAGATTTTACTCATCTTCTAGTTCTGTTTCGTTCCAAACTCTCATTCCACTGCAACGTGTTTGCTGACATGAAGAGAAAGCTGACCTGACATGAAGACAAAGCTGATCAAAATCAACTTGCAGGACAAGAACACGGAAGGATTCACAAGAGGTTAACAGGAGTATGCTGAAGAATTCAAAAAGTTATCCTAAGGTCTGTGTACTCTCATCAGCAGATTTCTATAAGCCAAACCAATGGGCAGCAGTTCCCTGCCCAACTCTTCTCAGCTGCTACAATGAAAGGAGGAAGACACAAAAAGAGGCCCATTGGACCAGGTCCTTGGTTGATGCAATCAGCAAAGCTCTCCTGAAGTCAGCTCATCAACATGCTGGTGTCTAACTCGGGATGATTAAGTACAGAGATGCTTTGCTGGGAAAGGGCAATCTCTCACTCGATCCTAAGTATCATCAATCATGAGATTGCAGATAACGAGCTGGTTGAGTAGATGGAAATTTTTCTCCAGATCTGCAAAGGCCTCTGTCAGAGGCTCTGCATGGCCACCACCGAAGGACAGCTCCCCCTGGACAGGGATAGCTGCTGCTCCTCTGGCAGACCCTCATCCTTCGCCTCTCCCATGTTGATTAGATAAAAATAAGCCTTTAATACTTTCATTCCTGGTTTGCCTGAAGAACTGTAGGTCAGGAAGATAATGGCCAAAAAACTCGCTTCCAACAGCACAGTTTTTGATAAGCAAGGAATCAAGAGGGAATGAGGCAGATCACTTCAGATGGAGAGCAGTAATGGGCTTGTCCACATGCCCAAAAGCAACTGGTGACTGTGGGTGCCATTTTTGAACTCAGCACGTCTCACAAATCAAATTCCTGTACAGATATCCAATTCTGGGACACTCCAAATTCGTTTAGTTCTGAAAATATCTCGGCCTGAACCTTTAACCGTACAGAGCACACCTTTAAACCCAAGTCCCTGAGGTGCTGTGCCACACACAGCTGAAGAGCTCACCCTAGCAGGTGTCCCTCCTAGACCCTCTTTGACCATTCACAGAGTCCCAGCATGGTGGGGTTGGAAGGGACCTCTGGAGATCATCTCATCCAAGCCCCCTGCTCCAGCAGCTCACCCACAGCAGGGTGCCCAGGATCACACCCAGGTGGGTTTGGGATCTCTCCAGAGCAGGAGACTCCACAGCCTCTCTGGGCAGCTGCTCCAGCCTCTGACACCCTCACACCAAAGAAGTTTCTCCTCCTGCTCAGATGGAGCCTCCTGGTTTCCAGTTTGTGCCCATTGCCCCTTGTCCTGTCACTGGGCACCACTGACCAGAATCTGGCCCCAGCCTGTTGCCCTCTGCCCTTTAGCTCTTGCTCAGCATTGATCAGATCCCTTCTGAGTCTCCTCCAGGCTGCACAGCCCCAGGGCTCTCAGCCTGTCCTGGCACAGAGATGCCCCAGCCCCTCAGCAGCTTCACAGCTTCTGCTGGTCTCTCTCCAGTAGCTCCTTCGCTCTCTGGAACTGGGGAGCTCAGAACTGGACCAAATATTCCAGAGGTGTCCTCACTAGGGCACAGTAGAGAGGTAGAAGAACCTCCCTTGACCTGCTGGTCACACTCTTTTGAATGCACCCCAGGAGACCACTGGCCATCTTGGCCACGAGGGCCCACTGCTTCTGGCTCACGGGCAACTTGTTGCCCACCAGCACTCCCAGGTCCTTCTCTGCTGAGCTGCCTTCTGCCAGGGCAACCCTTCACCTGCACTTGCCACTCAGGCTGGTGAGCCTGGCTCCTCACCAACCAGCCTGGCTCACTCCCTCACAGCAGTGCTGGCACATGATCAATCACTGGGTGAGCTACTTCAAGGGGATCTTCTTCTGGTGGAAACTTAACACCCAAAATCACACACTAGCACTCTAAGTCTGAGGGCTCACGTCTGCCCTAGTAAAGGCAGACCTCAGTGGCCCAAGCTAGGCTGTTCCCCAAGGTCCCTCATACCCCAAGCTAATTCAGTGCTGAAATCCAGGAGAAAACAAGTCCCTTTGGAGACCTTGGAGCTCTTCCAAGCAGAGAACTCCTCTGAACACGCTGGACAGGATGAAAACACCATTGCTTAACCATACTGTTGTCTGGATAGCTACAAGGTGTTCCATTCACACCCCAACAGGACTACTCCTACCCATCTTACTTACACCTGACCCTACTAGATGATAATCTCTAGCTCAGGCTTCCCATCTACACAAGCTTGTCCTCAGCTTTTAAGACAAACTCCACTCACCATTTTGGCTTCCTGATTCGAGTGGAATACACAATGGTCATTTGTTTTAACCACTTCCCTCAGAAGAGAAGGGAAAGTCCCTCTCATATGGAAAATAGTGACAAATTTTTTATGAGCTCTGGCTCTACTGTGATGATCTGCACTTTTTAACTAGTGACTTGACTTTGTTTTTCCCTAAATTGACTGAAATATTACCCAACTTCTAAGCTATGGTGGTTTAAAAAGTAGTCTCCAAGAATATATTATAAAACCCCTCTGCCAAGCAGAATCTATCGGACAGAGGGCTCAGGATATTTTAAGCCTTTGGAAGCACACAATGGCTAGAGTGACTCTTACATTTTTTTGCCACTAATCTAATGCTGTTTCCACCACCTTCAGACACTCTCACTGTTGCTACTGTATTCTAATGAAATCCACACACTGCAGGAGAGAGGTGTCTGGTGCTCTGCTCACAGTCGTGACAGAGCTGAAAGAATGTCAGGGCATGAATCAGTGGGACAACCACGAGCCCCAAACAAAAAAGGCTCCTGTTTTCACACAGACGACAGAATAAACAACGGTCAGAAGGAAACTGGAGGATGTGACACAAAAAAAAATGTGGTTAAAGTTTGAAAAATACCAGCCTAGGCACAGAAGTTCACTTCTGAGATCCAGAGTCAAGGCAAATACTTGGCAGATGCCTTTTGAATGACACGTTCAGTTGGAGTCTCCAGTTGCTGTCTGGGTTAGACACCCCGGGATTCTTTTCAACAGAGGCGGGGAAAATGTTAGTAGCAATTTCCTACTCTCATTAACTTGCCCTGTAAAGATTCCATTTCTGACCATCCAAGCTCACATCCAACTGATTTGAATGGGAGGAGGATCAAGTGGCCAGTCCAGTGGTATTCAGAGATTTGCCCTGTCACTGAAAAAACCCGTGCACAGACTGGAGCTCTGACTCTGACTCAGGGCTTGGCCTGGGCAGCCTTCAGGGTGGAATTCATTTCACCTGACTTTACATATCTAACCTTACACGTCTGGTCTGCCCTAGTTCTTTGGGTTGCCCCAAAAACCACTGAAAAAGAGATCACCTCCAGGGGATAATTTTTCCCATCCTAGAGAGGTAGCCAAGAAGCAATAGGATCCAATAAGCACTTGTGACTCACATGTAAAGATAGTCTGGAAGCACGAGAGGAGAGGTGAAGACCATGTTAGGCAACAGACATGCACATCCTTCAAACCTAAAACAGGCTGGTGACTTCAGAACCTTCATGCAAACACACACATGGGTAAAGCAGCCCGGCTGGGACACCAACACCTTCAGTCTGTGTCTGTAATTCACAAGTGACAACTCCAGAGAACAGCACAAAATTCTTGTCCTGGCTGTATGCAACAAGCTGACCCTGGAAAGCTTCTTCCTAAATGCTCCAAGTTCATAGAGTCACAGAATGGTTTGGGTTGGAAGAGACCTTCAAGATCACCACTAGAGCAGGTTGCTCAAACCCCCATCCAACCTGGCCTTGTACACCCCCAGGGATGGAGCATCCACAACTTCCCTGGGCAGCCTCTTCCACTGTCATCAACCTCAATAACCTTAGGGCATAAGACTTTGCACTATCTATCTATCTTGATACTGCACAATAAATGACAGTTGAATCTTGTGCCATCCTAGATGACACAATGTTCTGTGGCAATGAATCCCACCTTGCCTGCTGTATCTTAGAGATGCTAAAATTTCCTCACCTGCTGAGATTCCCTAGAGCAAGGAATCCTGCCCATCCCCTTTACTCCTGTCTTCTTTCTACCTGCAATGCAAACACAGAAACAAAATTAGCTCCAAAGTTAAAATGCTGTAGTGAACTGAAAACACAAACACCAACAAACCCAGCAGCCTGACTGAACCACTGTGGTAAAATTCCACACCTAATCCAATATGGTGTAACCTTTGCACTGCCAGCACTGACACTTTACTCCCAGGAACAGAGATCTCATAGAATCGGAGAACATTTTGGGCTGGAAGGGATCTCTGAAGGTCACCCAGTCAAACCCCCTGCCTGGAGCAGGGACATCCCCAGCTAGAGCAGGTTGCTCAGAGCCCCATCCAGCCTCACCTGGAATGGTTCCAGGGATGGGGCAGTGACCACCTCTCTGGGCAGCCTGGGACAGGGGCTCACCACCCCCACAGCAAAGAACTTCTTCCTCCTGTCCCATCTCAATCTCCCCAGTTTAAAACCATTGCCCTCCCATCCCTGCTGGGGCTCCCCTGGCCCCACTCCAGCAGCTCCATGTCCCTCCTGTGCTGGGGGCTCCAGAGCTGGACACAGCACTGCAGGGGAGGTCTCCCCAGGGCAGAGCAGAGGGGCAGGATCCCCTCTCTCCAGCTGCTGCCCACGCTGCTCTTGGGGCAGCCCAGGAGCCATTGGCCTCTGGGCTGTGAGTGGGCACTGCTGGCTCCTGCCCAGAACAAAATTTTTAGAAAATAATTTCAGAGCAAATCATCAGCTGAACGTGCAGCACATCATCTTGCAGCAGCTCCTATCAGTTATACTTAAGCTCCATTTTAACCTGGTTTCTAAGAAAACAAAGCTGATGCTCTAGCCTGGTGTGTGTGCATGTGTAGGGATTAGGGAAGGAGCCAAGCTGTCCCTGATGAGTAACTATTGACCTTATCTGTTTCAATAAAATGTGATGGGGGTCCCCAAAGCCCCTTAGTTTCATGAAAACAGGCAGCTGGTGAGAGGAGGAAAATCCTGTTAATATCCCCAGAGTGGAAAAAGTGACAGTGTGAGTTCATCCCTTATTAGTCATGGGATAATCTGCAGGAGAAAGACCTGAAAAGGTGACTTCACAAGCAGCCAAGCTTCTCTACTCCACTGCCCAGGGAGTTCGCGAATGCTATTTACCATTTTGTCACTAGATGGTATTGTTCCACAGGCTATATCTAAGAGCCACGAAGGTCAAATACAGCATGGGCTCTCAGAAACTAGGCTGCCTGGAGTGAGAGAAAAGGCTGTTTCTCAAGTGCTCTCAGATATGCTTTGTTATATGGAAATCATCAACAAAATCTAACTGTAAGAGCTAAAGGAAAAGAGCTTTGGTGAAAACGTAGATAATGTAACTTGGTCTTGATGAACTGTGCGTTTCCTCCAGATCTGAAAAAGCTGCTGAGATAAAGAGGTGGGAAGATAGAGAACAGAATGTTTCTGTTAACAAACCAAGCGTATAAACCAAGCCCTTTATTACAGTTCAATCTGTAATACTGACACAAAATTCAAAGAGTCTGACAAGCTCTGTTCATCCACTTCATAGTACAAGAGAAAAATTCAGTGTTATGCTCGGATACAGTCATGAGCACAAGCTCCTTCAGCTGTGAAACTGGCCCTTTACCTGTATCCTGAAGGTGGAAAGAAGAGGATTCCCTTTTCCAGTGTGGATGGGTGTCACTTTTGTTCTCTCCACGCTCACTTGAATCTGCCTGGACAGGGAGAGGGTGATTCTGGAAAGCAAATGAAGTTTTGTTTTAACAGCATAACCCCAAAAACATGTCCAGGTGGTAAATCCACAAACACAGCATTAATAGTGATGAGATTTTCACAGCTCCTGTGTCCAGGCCTTCTTACTCTGGAGCCTACAGGCCCAGTATGTCACTGGATATGCTGTGATGAAATTCACCTTTCATCTGGGGACTCCTAGCCTCAGTGCTCGATCTGCTGTAGTGCAGCTGCCCAACACAAGCTAAAACGCTTCTTAAAGCAGGATTCTGAGAAAATGTTTCTTTGAAGAAGAGTTTTGCTAGATAAACTCCATTCCTCCAGCAAGGAGCAAACAGAGCTATTTCTCTACCTTTGTGCTTCCTTCCTGTTCCTCTTCCTCAGAGTCTAACCCTCGATGGGAGATCTCAGTAGGGCCATTCTCCTGGATCATGTTGCTCTCAGCTGTTGCTATTCTCTTCTTTTCAGTTGTCACCCTCATTTTCATGAGGTGGAAGCCAGTGGACACTGACCCTACTCTCAGGTTGACAGGATCACCATCAAAAAACAGGTCACGAGGGCTGACATCTTCCTTAAAGCCAGGGGGCTGATAATCTTCAGGAGTTACTACACAGGGAGAAAGAATCTGCTCATGTCACAGGAATCACGTTTCATCCTTCCTTCATCTGTTTTATAAAGAACAAAGCTGTTGTTTTGTTCTTTAAAAGTACCAGCCTCGAGTAACAACATCAATGACTAAAAATATTCTGGGTTTTCTTCATGAAGAAGGGAAAGAATGCAACAGCAAAAAGCGAGCTTAGCAAAATACCATCATAGGGAGCTCAGAGGCTCACTTTAGGATGCTGGGATATCATTAACATGCTCAGTTTCCTGGAGCAGAAACTGACATTGCCTGTTCCTTAAAAAAAAAACAAAGCCTGACACTGAAAGAGAAGGGTGTCCTTCCCACACTGCACGGCTGTACTTCTTAGGTGGATGTTCAAACCTGTTTCAAGAAACACCTGCCATCCCTGTGCATCAGAAGGCTCTACACCATTTCCTCCTGTTCTCAGCTAACACCTTCTACCACTTCACCTTTCTACACTTTTATTCATTCTATGGGGGCTTCTGATTATTGAAGGAACTGCTGGCAAGGGGCTGCTCCCCTGCTCCCCACCCACCGTCACTGTAGTAGCGGAGTTTCATGGTGAGGGTGACGTCGTTGGGGAGGGGGCCCAGGTTCTGCAGCAGCAGGTAGAGCTTGCGGATCAGGAACCTGCTGCTCTGCTTCAGGTCCTCACTGCTCACCCAGTCCACCAGGGTCACCTGGTTGCTACAGTGGGAAGAAGAACAGATTTGTCTTCCTCAGTCATGAATATTCATATCTAATTACAAATACAGAGCACCCACTGAAAGGCCAGTGACAAAGCTCCCGGTGCCTTTGTGCCATTTCCAGATCAACAGGGAAGTGAAAGGCTCCAGGGATGGGGTGGCAGCAGAAAAACAACAGCTCTCAACTAAGAGGCCTGGCATTTACATTTGAACAGCCCTGGTAGCTGGGGCAAGGAACCCCATTATCCAAATGTCATGACTCACTTGTTCAAACATGATTAAATTGGATCAAAGGACCATAAAACAAGTGCCTTTCACCTAAGCAATTTCAGGAATGAGAGGAATGAGGTGAGAATCCTATTTAAAGCAGATTCATTACAGGGCCTATTTTCAAGTCTGTTTTGCAGTTTGAAGAGAATTGAATTGCATGTTCTCACTTCAATTCCATGGAAGAAAAACTAGCTCAGAAGCACATTTTTCAAAAGTGACTAAAGGGGCATTCCTCTCACCTCCTTCACCCACCCAAGCTGTCTAGACCAGACCCACGTCCAACAGGAGGGGGATGAATCGCCTCCGGAGGCGTTTGTTCCTCCTGACTGCTGAGGTGGATGAGATGAGCAACTGAGATCAGCCAGCTAACTTTAGATGGTTGAAGATGGACTAGTTGAATCATTACGTGACTAAGGAACCTGAACTTCCTTAGCTTTCAATGGGAAAGGGCCATTAAAAAAAAATGTAACTGCTTCATTACATCATAGGAAGACCATTGGGCAGGTGGATGACACAATACACAGGCTGGATGGTCCCTAACACCAGCAACACGATCATGGGAAAGGGTCTAGAGCCCAAGTGTGGGGAGGGGCAGCTGAGGGAGCTGGGGGTGCTGAGCCTGGAGCAAAGGAGGCTCAGGGGAGACCTTCTGGCTCTGCACAGCTCCTGACAGGAGCCTGGAGCCGGGGGGGGGCGGCCGCTGCTCCCAAGGAACAAGTGAAAGGACAAGAGGAAATGGCCTCAAGTTGCCCCAAGAGAGGTTTGGGTTAGACCCAAGGAACAATTTCTTCCCTGCCAGAGGTGTGGAGGCCTGTGCCAGGCTGCCCAGGGCAGTGGTGGAGTCCCCCCCCCTGGAGGGGTTTCCAAGCCATAGAGATGTGGTGCTGAGGTCCACAGGTCAGTGGGGACCTGGCAGTGCTCAGTTAACAGTCAGACTTGAAGAACTTGAAGGTCTTTTCCAAACAAAACCTGTGATTTTATGATTGTCTCCCAAATTAGTCCAAGACAGCAGAGAGGACCTCAGGGCTGAATATGACTGGCCCAACCACTGGAAGGAACAGCTTTGTTAAGACTGATTCCCCTTCCAGTTGAAGCTTCTTGGCTTGTCACAAAAACAGAGTGGCTGTTGAACAGCTTGGCTTCCCAGGGTAGAGTTTGGTAGTCACCAAAGTGCCAACAGCAATGCTCTGCTATTGGATTAAATCCTATATGTTCTGAGCTGGACACCAAGAGGGAGGACAACTGCTGGCAGTGCCTAAGGTGGAGCAAAGAGAAGGTAGGTACACATCACCTTTACAGGTCTTGGGATTACAGGAATGGAAATGGTAGGAGGAAAGTCTAAGTGAAAAAGAGGTGAGACTTCCATAGGAATTAACAGGTCAAGCATTGGTTCAACATGGGAAGAACAGAGTGGATTTGATGTGGGAATGTGTCAAAAAGTAGAAGCTGAGGAACTGAACCTCTCTGAAGGACTTGGACCCATGGCGAGGAATTTCTCCAAAATTTAACTAAAATAAGGCAGAGGCCACTTAAGAGAAAGTTTCCCTTTACCCCTCAGACACAATGACACAGAGCCACAAAACATCTCTCACGGAAAGATTAACTTGGACTTTGCACAAGACAACAAACCTTGCAGGTGTCCAAAAGCAGCAGCACCAGCTGCAGGAGCCAACAGCAAGGGTGACAGGACACTCTGGCCAACACCAGAACTCCTGTTCACCAACGGCTGTGGGTCCACACGTGACAGCAGGACATCAGTCACTGAGGAAACAGAGCCAGGAATCCAGTGCCACCAGCTCTGAACCCTCAGAGCAGTGACTTCACCACAGCAGGTATGAACAGAACAGTCTCTGCTTGGCCAGTACGATGGACAACAAGGGATGCCAAGTTCCATTTGGGGATTGTTGTTATTTCCAGGAACTAATGATTGATTAAAAGCAAATCAAAGTGCTCAACAGCCATCTACTGTCTTTCAGATCCCAAAGGTCTCCTCTTAGTGTAGTGAGGACAACTGAGAGCAGCTTCAAAGCAGAAATAGAGGATACAGTCAGCAGGACACACTAGACTCAGAGTTTTATACTAAAAGAGGAAGATTTAGGCCAGATAAAAGGAAGACATTTTTGACACTGAGGGTGGTGAGCCCAGGGCCCAGGCTGCCCAGAATGGTGCTGGAGGCCCCATCCCTGGAACCATTCCAGGTGAGGCTGGATTGAGCTCTGAGCAACCTGCTCTAGTTGGGGATGACCCTGCTCCCTGCAGGAGGGTTGGACTGGGTGACCTTGAACATTCCCTTCCAACCCAAACCGTTCTACAATTCTGTAGTTCAGATTTCATCAACTGATGATCATTTTGCCACACATTACAAATTATCTGGATGTGTTCAGAGGAAGAGCAGCACATGGCACACTGCAGGAGTGCTGCAGAGGAGCTTCCTGAGGAGCAGGAGGGACAGCAGAGCTTGTTTGCTGTACAGGCAGTTTCCAAGGTCCAAAGACCCATTCTTCACCAATGGCAACCGCAGAAGCAAACTGGAAACAGGTTAATTATTCCTCCTGGCTTTGGCTATAGCCAACAGCCTTTGATAGTATTTATTCTAAACCACACAGGATTATGGCTGTTGCCAAACACAGCTTTAAAATATCTAACAGACAGAGCGAGCCAACGAGACACAAAAAAGCTGCTGCTTCCTGCCACACATTTTGTGGCATCAACTCAGGCAATCGTAAGTGAAAGTTCTCTCAGGTCACCCACACAAGGCTGCTCAAGCAGACACGCGTATGCAAATGCCCAGGGGAAAAAAAATCCTGGGTGCAGGATGATGGTGAAAGGGATCAAAGCTGAAAAAGCCCCATCTGAAAGCACAAGGCTGCCTGGTGGAAGCAGCAGAACGCTCATTATTAGCCAAGACAGAGGCAAGCTCAGCAATGGTGCTGGTTTCTGCGTCACCTCCCTGCTCAGGCACCTCCTGGTGAGCTGTGCGCCCCTCAGCCCTGGTGCCCCCCAAGTGCCTCACCACGCTACGTGACAGGGGTTCTACTCATGGCTTGGCAGCTCCTGCCCTGCAGGACATCCTCCACTCTGGTGACAGTCACAGCTGCTCAGTCTCACACATGCTCTAACCATAAAGCTTCTTCTTGCTGCTTCAAAAACAGCTTCCACAGTGCGATTCTGAGACATGAATCCAAACCATTACCTGATGATGTCCATCTGGGGCACCTCCTTTTTGTACTTGAACTTGAATTGATAGAGTTCAGTCACCGTCTAGGTTGAACAGGAGAGGAGAAAAGAAGGAAGGGGTTTTCTCTTTCTGTGACAAGTGTAAAGCCACGCTCTGAACCTATCAGTGTCCTTTCACAGCTTTATGCCAGAGCACAGCACTAAATTCACGACAAAACAGCCTTAAGTCTGTCGTCACTTTGCAGGGGCTTTGGTGAATCTTCTTCACCACCACAGCTTACCTAGCACTGAAAGAATCACAGAAAAATGACAACCTTCTGCTTCCTCCTTCCACTTCCTCCCTGGCCAAACTCTCTAACGAGGCACCAGGGCCAGGCAGCCACCAGGAGGGACGTGTGTCCTCCCACCACAAGGTACCCGTGTCCTCCCTTACTAGGAGGTGAGATGTGAGGCCTCACGGGTGACATGGTGTCACCAGGAAGCCTGGCCCTGAGGTCTGTGTGGAGACAGGGGCCTGAAGGACACCTCCTGCTAGGAAATATGAACAATACCACAGGGACAAAAAAAAAATGCTGAATTTCACTAGTCTCAGTGTGTTCCGAGGGAAACAAACAAAAAAAAGAGATGATTTTCCATGTAAAAGGAAAGGATTTGTTATGATTTTAGAGAATAAAATAATTAGGAAGAATAGACAACTTCCCCTCAAGAGGAAAGATCTATTGTAGTCCAATTCCATGCCTATAATTTGCTTTTTCCAGAGGCAATGAGGTCAATTAGCAGGAGCTCAGCTGAGCCCTTAACTCTGAGCCTTCCTCACAAATCCTTGGTAGGGACTAAACCCGTGCTCTCTCCCTCCATGCTGAGGAGCCATGGAGCAGAACTGTAACCAGGTGAGCAAAGATTCTGCAGCTGATCTCTACACCAGCTCTGGGGGCACTCAGCATGGATGCAGAGCCTAACTTGGGTATCACACCTCCCACTCCACCTCTACCAGCTGGGTGTGGAAAATCCAGAAACACAATGGAGAACCCCAAAAGGATAAGGACAGCACTGGGGAGGCCACAGGTTGAGTACTCAGTTCAGGCTGAAGCACCACAGGATGAGTGGTGACCTTGAGGGGCTGGAGACCTTGAGGGGCTGGAGCAGGTCCAGAGAAAGGCAACGAAGCTGGGGAGGGGTCTGGGGAACATGATTGTGAGGAGCAGCTGAGGGACCTGGGGGCGTTCGGTCTGGAGGAGGCTGAGGGGAGAACTCATTGTGCTTTACAATTCCCTTACAAGAGGTTGGAGTGAGGTGGGGGTTGGTCTCTTCTCCCAAGGAACCAGCAACAGGATGAGAGGCAATGGGCTGAAGCTGCACCAGGGGATGTTTTGATGAGGCAGAATTTCTTTCCTGGCAGAGTGGTGAGGCCTTGGCCCAGGCTGCCCAGGGAGGTGCTGGAGTCCCCAGCCCTGGAGGTGTTCAAAAAACGTGTGGACATGGCACTTGGGGACATGGTTTAGTGATCACAGGAGTGTTGGGTTGACATTTGGACTTGATGACCTTAGAGGTCTTTTCTAACATTAATGATTCTATGAACCCACACAGCCCAGGTCCTAAGTGACTCATCGCTTCAGTCCTAAACCCCTCTGCATGAAAAACCATCTCTTTCCAACACTGCTGTTCAAAAGAGGGTTCACAAAAGAATTATTTTGAACTTCCCATTTCTCCTCTTTGGGCACAACAAACAAAACTGCAAACATGCCCATTATTTGCCTGTTACTGGCCCTGCTGGAGGCCCTCAACGGGCCCACAGCCTAGTGCCCAGTAGGAGCGTTTGATCACAGTCTGGCTCACTGGGCTGTCATTCTGGAGTGAAGGCAGAAGAAGAGAAACAGGGTCACCAAGCAGCTATGTCAGGGTAGACTCTGAATGCAAATCTACTCACCCATGCCTTCAGCTGCCTCAAAGATTAATTAAGACTCTTTGCTTACCTCCGGTTCCTTGGGATCGGTGTAAAACTGTTATGAGAAAACACAGTGAGAGCACTCTCCCCTTGGATAACTCAGACCAGTGAAAAGTGAATAAACAATGATATTTTCATTTTACAGCAGAGATTGCACTATCTTTAGCGTGGGATCAGAGAATGGAATGGCTGAGAAACAGCCCTCCTCTATCAGCGGTCAATATTTACCACTTCAAAGCTAGGTAGAGAACACTCATCTGTGTAATTGTGGAGGAATGAGGTTAATTCCCATTCCAACCCTCACAGGCGACTCTTGATGCCTGAGATTTAACTGCTTGGATCCTGCACAGAGTAGCTGCATAGCTCTTGGGGCTTGACAAAGGCCCAGGGCAAAGGACTCGCTACGGAACTGCCAGCGTGTGGCTTCTTTGGGATCAGATTAATGAGGAGAACTCTTCTGCATGGGGAAATGGAGAAGACACAGCAGCTTCCAGTGGTGGAGGCAAGAGCTTAAAGGAAGCAGGGATAGGAAGCACATGAAAATGCTTCTGGGAGTTTAAGGATGCATGGAAGGCCTCAGAAGTCTGACATATTGAGCAAACTATTCCCACGCAGCCTCGGAAGTTTATATTTACCATATTTAAGAAAGGTCACTGCTCTATTAGAAACCACATGCATTGTGACTTCCCCTTAAGAAAGGCACAAATGGCTTGACCCAACCTTGACTCCATATCTCTTTCAAGCAGAGGAGGGAAGAAAACCTCCTTGTCTCGTGTACTTACTGTGAGGACAGCAATGTGTAACTGAGGAGGGAAAAACAAAACAAAATCAAAGTCTAACCTTAGCGGGCAAGGAGGAAAAAAAAAAGACTCATCAAAACCTAACTGCCCACAGTCTGTGAAGGAATTGCTACAGTCGACAGCGTGAAAACCTCTTCTGCAGCCTCTTCACGGCACAGCATCAGCAACACCTAGTGGCCGCTCTGCCTGGCCTGACCCACCGGTTCCCTGCTGCTCGCTCACACTTCTCTCCTTCTAAACAAACCTCCGCAGGCTCTGCCGACGGAAAACCCTTTTACAAGAGCACCCAACCCTACTGAAGGCTTGCCCTCTGCTTCAACCCCCCACCAGAAAGTAGTTAATTCACCCTACAGCAAGAAAACGTACGTGGGACTGCTCTTGAAAACGAGCTCAGAACATCCATTAATTAGCTCCACTTCTTCCGTGATCCTTGTCAAGTAACAATTAATTTAGGTCTCTCAGAAGTACCTCCTAGCACTGCCAGCAAGCAATAAAGTGAGTTCACCACATTTTGGATTATCTGATGCACCCTGAACTGCTGTTCTGCTGTGTAAGAGCCCATCTGATCATCAGTAGCAAAACGAACACTTCATCTGATCTAGATGAGAGCTCCTCTGATGAGCAGTGCTGACAGAGATGACAACAGCTGGTACTTTTTTTTCTGTGCAGAGCAGTTTTTCTGTGAGAATCAGCAAGGAATATCTTTACTGACTAGCTGGGTTTGTCCTGGAACCAGCTATATACCATACTTGATGAACTGCTTTCTGAAAAAAGCAATAAATTCTGAACCCAAGAAGAAAAGTCAGGATGGTTGGAGAAGATGAGGAGAAGGGAAAAGACCAGGGAAAGGAGAGGAAGGAAAGCAGAAGCAGCACAGAAGAACTTCTCTCAAGAAAACATGCAGGGAGATCAAGATCTCAGCTCTGGCTGGCAGAGTCTCTATCCAGACATTAGGGAACACAAATGTAGAACACAGGACTACGGGGAATCCATTTCAGGCTGCAGATTAGTTCCCACACCGTGTACAGGCAAGTCGAGAGAGCGACAGCAGCCAAGATTTGGGCTCAAGGAATAAAATTCCCAGTCTCATGTGTATCGAGCTCAGGGCAGGGTCTTCTCCCTGACCCACCACTGTAAAGGTGTGTTGTGTGCATGTAACATCACAACAAAAATATAAAGCAACTTATTATGTCCATACTTTATGAAGAAATAGGAAACGCTGTTAAAAAAATAAAGTGGAAAAACTTACATACTGCCTCTCCAAAGCATCAAAACAACCTTGAATCCTGCCAAGGAAAAACATGTTAATAACAACCAGCACGTTATCTCCTGATCTGTAAACACACACTCATTAAATACAGTTTAAAGTGCATTTTTTTTTCTGCAATTAAAGCAACACAATTAGCAACATTTTGGGCTTGTAAAGTCCTTCTCAGGTCAAGCCCCATGAAGGTGCTGTGGTATCTCTTCATCTGTGCACTAGCTATGCTTCCAGGGCCACATCCTGCCAGCCTGGAGCCCACATAAACCCTGAGGAAGACAAGGATCTGAGGCCCAAGGCTGGCTCTGAGCAGCTCTGCTCAGTGCTCTGTTCCAGCTCCCCAGCTTGCTCTCCGATGGCTCTTTTCCCATTGGCCTTGGACAGAGCTTGGCTGGAACTTCAATCTGAATGTGGTCGTACATGTCTGGTCTTGTAAATTTTGTTATCTGATGCACAGCTTACAGCTATGCACTTTCTCAAAGGAGTAAGCATTATTTAGGGTAGCACCGGTCAGATATTTAGTAAATATTATTTTGAGCCAAAGGATGTGCAGCTAGGTATCTCCTAGCAAATCAAAGTCAGCCTCTCTAGCTGTTGGGAACGAGCCAGCTCCAAAATACACCCTGCAGAAAGCTTCAGCATCCCTAGCCACACAACATCCAGGGTGATAAAACATCGTACTTACTAAAAAAACAATAAGAACCCCTGGAAATGTGAAGCTAGAAAAGACTAAACACCAACCAAATCACTTTGATGCTCTCCTTTGCCCTCTCTCTGTATCTACACCACCCACGTGTGCTCTGGGGGCTGACCATGACCTCACAGCAGCCCACACGTCCACAGCTCTCGAACTCACATGATCCTGGGCAGCTAATTCTGCGTGGCTCAGGCAGGGGGCCGAGCACAGGCGCTGCTGGGCACGGGGTTTTCAGATTCAGGAAGGAGCCCAACCCGAGGGGTGGATGTGCTGCTGCTGCTGCTGTTCAGCACAACCTTGTCTGAGTTTCGCTGTTACTCACTTACCACTTGACTACCTGCTTCGCTCCCAGACAGCATTTATCTTCTCGGAGGATTTTTAGACAGACGTCTGCAAAACCAGATTTAGCACATAGTTACAAAGCCTCGTCGCCGCCGTTGGGCAAACACCGAAACTAAGGCAGCCACCCTCCCTTTTTTGGATGAAATGTGTTATCTGGAGGTCCTGCCTGAGCGGAAATGTTGGTTTTCCACTGCGTCCCAGGTGAACTGACACAAGCTTATTGCTGCATTTTCAAATGTCAAGAGTTTCCTCAGATGCTCTGTGCTCTCCCAGAACAAATGCCAGAGTTACGGCTTAATTCTGAAACACCAGCAGCTTCCCTCTTCCCCTCCTCCCTCCTCTTCCCCACTCCCATCTATTCCACCTTCCCTATCAACACCCTCACTCCTGCACTCAGAATTCACCAGCACCCACTTAACAAAAACAACTGTGCAGAAAATAAACTACTGTTTGTCTTTTCCACCTGGTTCCTTCTACCTCTGTCTCCAGGGACTCAGGACAGCAAGAGGAAACCCATCCTGCAGGTCATGAGGTGAATTAATAACACCTCAGCATTCCACCTAGGAGCCCCCAAAGGCTGGGGCAGGTGTTAACGTTCCTGATCAAAAAGGCACTTGAAAGGCCTGATGTTTAATTGGAAAGATGAGTGGCTTTTCAGGGTTGGGTGGTCAAGAGCCAGTTTGGGATTTCCTGTGGGATTTCCTCAACCAAAGCCACAAAGTCCATGTTTCAGGAGAACTAACCACATAAGTGGGCACATGGAAACAGACTGGAATGCAGAGATATTTCACAGCCTACCAGCACACCTTGAATGAATGCACAGATACTGATGAATCAAAGTGTTGCTAATTCTTGTAATCTTACAAGACTTTGGCTCTTAAAGTTCTTTCTTTTCTTAAATTCTGATTCCCGAGCGCGTGTGGTTATGTGGGACTTCTTCCACAGAAAAAAACACCCCACAATAAAACAAACAAACAAATCTACTTTCAGTCTCTCAAGGAAAGCTGAAGATGTGAACTCCAAGGGCTGAAAATTACAAAGGAAAAGAAAACCCACCAAACAGAGTTGTTTTTTTTTAAAATGTAGTGATTTTTAAGTCAATCTCCTGGCTCTGAGATCTGATTCACAGGGCTGGCAACGTTCAGGAATGATTATAAACCAAAAGAAACCCTAATGAAAAAGCCAAGAGCAGCCAAAAGCTTTCAGTTGTCTTTTATGCCTGCTATCTACCTGATGCAAGAGCCCTGTCTGCATCCAGACTTGAGAAGGCCTGGTAGCTAACATCCTAATAAATTAGACGCATACCTATAGGAGCAGCTGGAAGCCAACATGTGAAGCAGATTATAGATAAATATCACAAGCAGAACCAAGACTTCAGCACCAGCTGGAAGCATTACCATCTAAATAGCGTGTTCCGTAGGAGCTCTCGGGGAAGAGCCCCCTCATGTAGGTGATGCAGGACATGCCGATGGCCAGGAGACGTTTCAGCAGCACCACGGACTGCTCCCGAGTCGTGACTCTGCTGGGCAACAGCACCGCCTCCTGCAACAGAAGGGCAAAGCCCAGCCCACCCCCGCTTTAGTGGGAAACCAGCTCGCAGCAGGTGGGAAAGGAGGGCAACTTAGAAATGTGATTTTAACGTCTCTCTGGTCTTCGTGCTGCAGAGGGAAGACTCACACGTCTAGCACGGGTGGGATTAAATGTTTTCAGGGTGTCTATCAATAGATCTGGCATGATTTACTCCGACGCAGACTGCGCTGGTTGGGCCTTCCCTCCCCTTTTATCACAGCTGAACGTTCCCACCCCTTCCACTGCACCAATGCCAGCACTTAACAGACAAACGCCCCTAAAAAAGAAAGCAAACCAGGAAAAGCCTACAGCTCTCTGCCAGCTTAGCTCCCCAGAGCTTGCTGTGAAGCCAGACAAGCGCTGGGGCGGCGTTTGCCAGGGTCCCAAAGTTCAGTGCCTGCCGTGGCTGCTCCTGAGCTCCGGGAGCAGATGGAGCCTGTCAGCAGCCCTGGCTGTCAAAGGGATTTCACTGCAGAGCTGCAACCAGAGCTGGAGGGAATGGAAATACCACCTAACCACCAGGTGATCCCAGCACCACAGCCTCAGCTGACAGCATACTCCAACTAGCTCCTCTTATCAGTTCGCTGCTTTTCTTCCCGCTAATAAAGTGCTGTTCACACCTAATGAGGCCACATTTATTTAGGCAAAGAGGTGCCAAGGCCCCATTCTGCATTCTCCCGGACTCACTAAATCGGAAATAATCCTGCTAAGAACAATGTAGACAACAAAAAGTGTTCCCACCTCACCAGACCAGGTCCAAAACTGAGAGCAGATATGGCCACTACCATCCCTTTTCCAAATTTTTACCTTAGAGGACTTTTTCTTTTGCCTAGTCTGCAAGAGCTGATGAGTCGCCATCCTGCATTTCACAGACCTGCCTTCCACTTGTAAACAAAACCTGAAAAAAGCACAATAAAATGAGGCACCTGCAAAACACACAGTCATTGCTGTTTCTCTTCTTAAACTAGGAAAGCGATTCTTCAGCTGATTCAGGTCTGAAAGCAAACTGCCAGCCAGGACAGCTAAAACAAATCAAACACAAACCAAGGATGCTCCTTGGCACTGCCTGAGAGCCTGCAGAGCAAGAAATCTCCCTCTTCCCTGGTAAACGATCAATAGCATTTGAAATTCAGGGCCAAAACTGTACCTGGTGTCAGCTGGTGCTGCTTCCAAATGCATTTCTCACATTCCAAAGCACAAATGTTAATTTCTACATCCATTTAAAAGTGTGAAGGGGGAATGTGAAAGAACTGGAAGGCTGCCAATAGCCGCCAATATTTTAGCAAGGGTAAGCAGGAAACACACTCACATCCATCTTGCCAGAATAAAGGAATGATTCTTTTGGGACACCTTGAAAGGGGGGAAAAAAAACCTAAAAGAGAAGTCCACATTGTTCCAATGAAAGCAGGCCCTGTTAGACAAGCCTGGATTAAAGAGGAAAACATTCTTTTTACAATAATAGAAAGCTGATTGATAAAGGCAATAAAGTGGACATTAGATGCTTCACACTTGGGTGAGGTGCTTGATTTAGCACCATCTGACATCCTGATTAAAAACTTCCATTAGATAGAATTAACAAGGCACTAGTTAACTGGTCTGAAAAATGGCTCGCTGGGAGATCTCAACATGTAGCTGCTAACGGGGAGACGTTAATGAAACACCACAAACAGGTCCCCAGAGGAGCACTGCCTTGTCTGCAGCTGGTCAATATTTCTATTAATCATTAAAATAATAGTATAAACACGATGGGTTGATTTAAATCATGACCTAAGGCAGCGAGCAGTGTGGACTTGTATCAACAGAGTTGATCTAATCTTGTTCTGCATTTGTACCTTTTCAGCTTTTTTTTCCATGAAAGCCTCATTTCCATTCCTTGACAATCATTAAAGACATGTTGATTGGAACATGTTGACACCTTTTATGCTAAATTTAGCCCTTCATTTAGTAATGAGGACAGATTACTACTGTAAAAGGGTATTTAAACAAACATACACCTGCAAAATTTTTAATCTGTTAATATATTTTAGGCAAGCATTTTTTGTTACTCGTGACTGGCTAAGCACTGCAAACAGGACTGGAATGCAGCAAGAATTGACAAAGGCATTACTTCAATGTGAGGTTATTAGCTAAATAAAGCTAATTTAAGCGAGCCAGAGAGATAAGAAAATTTTTCCTAAAACATACCACACTTATAGTTGATTTATTGGGCAAAGGAAACATCACCTAAAGGGAGTTTACCTACCCAAACCCTGCTGTTTAGGTACAAGTTCCCTCCAAACTCCACCACCACTGTCTCACCTCAGCCAAACCTGCACTTGCTCCTGGGCAGTGAGAGAGGAAGGACCAGTCCTGGGCTCCCACCGCTCACCTGCTGCAAAGATCACCAAATATTTTATCACTTTATCACCAAATATCAGGAAATCAGTTTTCACTGAGGAAACCCAAACCTCTTCCCCTCACTCCAGGAACCCCTGAGCCTTCAGCCCCGTGCCCACGCACCCACCACCCCTCAGGCCTCGTTTTGGGCCCTGCGAAGCTACAGCAGGCCGTAAAAAACCGGTTGTGGCTCCAAATGTCTGTTTTAAAGGTTTTGGGTGGGTCGTTTTGGCTTCTGTTTTGTTGAGTTGAAGCTCAAGGCCAGCCGGGCTCCCTCAGGGCCGTGTCCTGCCCCTCATCCAGCAGCACCGTGTGTCCCCTGAGGCAGGAGAGGTTCCGAAGTGGCGAGGGGGTCCCTGAAGTG